TTGGGGGTTCTCCTTTTTTGATGATGTTGTTAAACTGCAACTGTTTTTTATTAAGAAGATTTTGAAACTCCCCAACTTCACACCTACGTATACGTTGATGCTTGAAACTGGAATGGAAAGCGGACACCTCTACACTTTAGACCTTCACCTACGATATGTTACGAAAGCCATGTTTGATTATCCTGAAGATAGGCTCCCATACCAGCTCACCAAAATCTTAACAGAAAAACAACTGTTTTGGTTCAAAGGTATAAACAGAATAAGCGCTACCTTCGGTATAACTTGGACCCAACAAAACTTAAATCAGATAAAATGGTGTGAAAATAGGCTAAAGCTTCTAGATAATCTAAAAAGTAAATGTAAAGAAATGGCATTGTTACAAGCAAATCAAACAAGACGAATTTATAGAAAGCTAAACCATTACGTTGGAAGCGGATATATTGTTGATGAAATAAAAACATATGATATAACATGGATATTCAATGCAAGAAGTGATTTGATTAAACTAAATGGAAACAATTATAATATCAAAGTCCTTAACTATTGGTCACTATGTAATTTAAAGGAAAAAGAGGATATTGAACATTTCATAGGTCGTTGTTATGCTCTTAGAGAATTTAGGGCTTCATACTTCGGTAAAACTGTACTTAACGATGTAGAAATTGTTGAGACATTAGATGGTGAAATACTTAATTGGAGATTATTGTCACAATATATAAAATCATGTGTAAAATATAGAGACTTTTTAGTTGGAGAATTTAATGTATAAAACAAATCTGTTATTGTTAAATTTAATTGAACAGTATAATGACTGACGACAATAGTCATAGTCAATTCCATTCTGTATTCTTTATAAAAACTTAATATTGTTAATATGTATATTCATATACTGCTAAAATTTTAATTGAAAATAAAGAATAATACTACTACTACTACATAGATTCTCATTTACTTCGGGCTCTACATGCTTAATTTCATGTTTCAAGGTTTAATTTTGTAGACAACTTAAAAAGTACCAGTCTAAGATCGAGAATGTACCAAAAAGTCACCTTTTATAGATTCTCATTTACATCGGGATCTACATGCTTAATTTCATGTTTCTAGGTTTAATATAAAACTCAAAAAATTATTAATTAATTAATCAATTTCATGTTTCGATTTCAATATCATAGAAAACTCAAAAAGTACCAGTTGAATAATGAAAAAGTACCAAAAATATTTATTGTGTCTAAATCTAAAATTTGTATCTAAATTGGCTCATTTAGTTTGAATAAAATTACGTTTCCCGATTTTACCCCCTTTTGGTACTATTAACCCTATTAACGAAATAAAAATTTCATTCCAAAAAGTTGCAAAATCATAGTGGAAATCAGTTATTATGTATTCATATGTACATGTTAGATTATCCCGAGGAATATCCTTTTTAAAAATTTCATGTAGGAATATCACTCCATCGATGCGTATTAATGTACTGAAAACAGAAAAATAAAAAATATTTTTCTTTTTGGAATGGTCCTAAGTTCCCTACCAGCGATTGAAAAATCCTGACCTCAGTATAATTTTTTAAAAATTAGATATTTTCGATTTTTTCGAAATGGGTCTCAAAAATTCCGTAATTGGCCATATTATTATAATATTTTAATTTCTTCAATTACGGACTTTTAATCTTTTTTTGTGTATAAATGTTTGCTATTACCTAAAGATTGGAGAAAAAACAAGTAAAAAGTCTAAATTCGCCTTTGCCGAATCTTATATACCCTTCACCCTAGTGTGTTCCAAAAAAGATTAAATTTATGAAATTTTAATTTATTTAATTTTTCCCGACTCTACTATTATTATAACAACAGCAAAACAAAAGAAACAACAACGAAGGAACGCTAAACGAAACAAGACACAAAAGAACAAAACAAAAATACACAACGAAATGAAACCAACACGCAATGTCGTTGTTGCTTTTATCAAAGCATGCAAACATTTTTTTTTTTTTTTTTTTTTTTATGAAATTTTCAGAGGTTGTCTCGGTTTTTTGCTCATATCTCCGTTATTTATGAATGGATTTTGATGATTTTAAATAGGAAACTTTGAAAGCATGTCTGATGATTTTAAATCTTTGAAAGCATGTCTGACAAAAATTATTGATGATTTGGATCCCGAAGATATCTGGGGTCTTCAGAAAATTGATTTCAACAGACAGACAGACGAACATGGCTTAATCGACTCCTCTATCTATAAGGAACCTGAATACATATATTACACAGTGAGACAAAATAAACGAAAATTGAAATACCTGGGAAGTGATACCATTTTTCTGAAAGGTGAATCCGAGTAGAACAAGAATATGTTTTAAGTTTCTCCACGGATTTAGAAAGCAGAAGCTGAGGCATTTATAATGACATGTATAACGTTTAAGTAACCTGAGAGATATGTGTGAATTTCATCAGCAAACATATTTTTTATTTAACTTTTGCGCCGTTGTACAAGTTTGGAGATGTTTTTTGAAAGTATTTTATGTAGGAACCGTACTATTTATTAATTGATTTGAAAACCCTGTCTATTTATGAGAAAAACGCAACTTTGTTTTTAAAAATCCGTTAGCAATTGGCCACGTTATTGATCTTTTTCTTAATACAAAATTGTTCATAAACTGATTTTCTGAAGGATGCTTTATATGGGGGATAGGGTTAAATATGGACCGATCCTCTAAAAATTTGGTGGAAGGATTTATGTTTATATAAAAGTTATTTATGCTGCCATCTATTATGAGCCATCCTTTAGAACAAGAGTCACAAGACATTGGACATTTAAAAAACCTTATAATAATTTTAAATACATATTACCAAAATTTGGCATTTTTTATTTTTATACCCTTCACCTTCGTGAGAAGGGTATATATAAGTTTGTCATTCCGTTTGTGATTTCTATAATATAATTTTCCGACCCCATAAAGTATATATATTCTGGATCCTTATAGATAGCGGAGTCCGTCTGTCTGTCCGTCTGTGTGTTTGTTGAAATCAGTTTTTAGAGGACCCCAGATATCGGCGAGATCCGAATCTTCAATAATTCTGTTAGACATGCTTTCGCTATTTAAAATCAGCAAAATCGGTCCATAAATACCGGAGATATGAGCAAAAATCCGAGACAACCTCTGAAAATTTCATACAAAAGACAATATTTTTCATGCTTTGATATAAGCAACAACAACAACACTGCTTATTCATTGAGTATTTCGTTTCATATGTTTGGGTGGCTGTGTGTTTCATTGCCTTGTTTATATTGTTTTTGTTTCTTGGTGCATTCCGTTTCGTATGTTTGGATGTCTGTTATTTTCATTGCGTTGTGTATTTTTTTTTATGTGTTTGTTTCGTTTAGCGTTGTTGTTGTTGTTGTTCGTTTTGCTATTGCTATAATAATGATATAAACGGAAAAATGAAATAAATTAAAATTTTATAGAATTGATATTTTTTAAATACACTGTGGTGAAGGGTATATAAGATTCGGCACAGCCGAATATAGCACTCTTACTTGTTTCGATGGCACATTCAAAATATTTTGTGTGAATATAAATGAATGTTTCATTGCATTGTGTATATTGTTTTTGTTTTTTGGTGTATTCAGTTTTGTATGTTTGGATGTCTGTTGGTTTCATTGCGTTGTGTATTTTGTTTTTTTGTGTGTTTGTTTCGTTTAGCGTTGTTGTTGTTCGTTTTGCTATTGCTATAATAATGATATAAACGGGAAAATAAAATAAATTAAAATTTTATAGAATTGATATTTTTTAAATACACTGTGGTGAAGGGTATATAAGATTCGGCACAGCCGAATATAGCACTCTTACTTGTTTCGATGGCACATTCAAAATATTTTGTGTGAATATAAAAAGACCCTAACAAGTGATGAATCCGTTCGCGTTAATCATTTTGATCGAGGGGCGCAAAATTTATAGCGGTTTTCACATAAATATTTAAAAAAATTCTTAAAAATAGTATTTATATATGTTATATTTAAAAAAAAATTCACATAATTGTAAAAATAATTCAAATTCAGCGCATTAAATACATACCATAAGATTTATTTTCAAAAATTTTAAAAATACACAGTAACAAATTCCATTTCATTATTTTTAACTTGTTGCTTTCAGTTTTTGAAAAATCGCGAATTAGTGTAAAATTTAAGAAAAAAACAGTTAATATCTGAATTCTACGAGCTTGATTTATAAGGGAATGCAATTAAAAAATTATAGTTTGAAGGAATTAAATATTTATAGAGTGATGCTTTTTGATGCTAGGTACATTTTATTTGGCCCACAAAACCTTACTTTTTTGATGCGCCCCAGTTTTACATTAATGTATTAAGAAAACTGGCAAATGGTGATAATTTTGAAGAATTTTGAGCATCATACATGATGTGCCTTGGCAAAATGTGTTTAGATAAAAGTGACGTCTCTATAGCTTACAAGAACATTTTAAATGCATTTATGATCCCAAACCATTGTGTTTGTCATTATCTTCATGTCTATTCATTAAATGCTTGTATAAGACGATATTTTTTTAAAAAGTTCATAAAATTTTTGCATTCGAATATTTTTGCATGCTCCTCCGATTTTATATTTCAAAATAACAAAAAACTCAATTTACGCAATAATTCAAAATATTTCGTATATAAGTGAGAATGTGCCGCGTTTGCAGTTTTTAGGCTGGAAGTCTTGTGTATATAATCCTGTAAAAATTTTATTTGACATTTTATTCTTACCAAAGTTATTAACAATTTAGTTCAATGTCAAAGGAATTAAAAAACTTTGATATTTGCTCATATAGCAACATTTCTAACAATTTGAACACATTTCACTATGAATTAATACATAATAATAACACACAATTAAAATTATGTTCAGTCGAAAAAAGGGGAAAAAATATTATATATTGTTTTGATATGTTTTCTAGTTTCCTTTAGAATTCGAATAAAAATTTTAAATTACATCGATAATACAAATGTTTTAATTATATGACCACCAATGTATATATATGAGACTTCCCATAGTCTGTGTTATATAGACACAATAAAATATTCATTTGAAATTTTTTTTTTTTTTTTTTTCGTTTACCATTAATAAAAAAACTCACCTGCGGAGGAATTTTTAAACATTTCGAAATTTCTTTAGTTTCCTCGGATGATTTCATATTATCCACATTGTTTGTAGGCTCACTAACTGTATGGACTTCTTGTTTGGCGCTATAATTTACTGGTTGCTTAAACTTGTTTATAAGTTTTCCTTTTAGCATATTAAGAGAATTTCCTAAAATAAACAAAAAACATTAATATAAACAGTGTTAGAAAAACTACGTTGCTACCAAGTATTATATTATTGCTTTAACTACTGCTCCAAACAATTGTCTGAAGTTGTAGCAGTAGCATTTGTTTTGTTTTATAATCATACGTTTTTAAAACTTTTGCTACTTATAAAAAAGCAAATCTCAAAATATAGCAGTAGTAATAAAACAGTAGCAATAGAAATAGTTCTAAATAAAACATAAACTACAAATGGAGTAGTAGCTTAAAAATATAAATAATTCTATTGCTACTTTTGATAAGTAGCAATAGAAATATTTGCTACTAGTTGATCGTTCTATTGCTACCAAATTATTGAAGTAGCAATAGAATAAAACAAAAAACTTCGACAAAAAAAATAAACTAACAAATACACATATCTCAACGGGAAAAAGATTCAGTATAGGGGCCTTACTAAGGGCATTTTTCTATAGACACAAGTACATACAGCCAGTGATTAAAATTACTAATATATTAGTAACCAAAATGCATATTTTCTCCTATGCATACGTATGTAATATTAAAATATAAATATATTTTATGAATATAATATATTTAATTGCTCCCATTCGAAATATTTCTAGTATTTTTGCTAAAAATATTTACCCATACAAACTATTGCATATTACAGCTTACAGACAAATATAAAATGTTTTCACATACAATATATTACGCAGCAACTCGCTAACATATTTATAATACCCACATATATTTCATATGGCTTGCCTATAATATTAAAATATTTTCCTACACAAATTATTCGAAGTCAACAATATTGAAGCCATACAAGCAGTAATATACGAACATGAAATGTACGCAAGCAGAGCATATATGTGCCGACGAAAACACGAAACAAAACGATAGTCGCGACTATCAGGTTACAATATTTTTACTATCAAACTTAAATATTATTTACTATAGGAAATGACTTATGGTCTAAAATTTAACATTTCATGTTGAACTTGAAAAATTATAAAATGTGAAAAATGTATGCAAGATATAACCAAATTTAATTTAGAAAATAATTTAAAACGTTTATATCTATGTATGTTTTATGTATATTATGGGAAAAATGTATGCATAAAATAACCAAATTTTAATTAGAAAATTTTTGAATTGAATTATTGAATGTATGTATTTATTAAATTTATGTTTAATTTTTATGTGGAGTATTAAAATGTATGTATTTGTATTGATTGTAATATAATTAGAAAAAAATTATATAAATACTTAGAGGATCATATGAATGTAAAAATATATTCAAATATGCAACACCATTTATATCTGGTTTTGTATATACATACATATGTATGTATGTAAGTATGTGTGAAACAATAACAAAAAACACATTCGTCATAAAAATGACCTGTAACAGCACTTTTCTTTCCTACTTTTCACGCACATTCCATAACGGTGGATTACGATAGGTCATTTTTTCCCTGAATTGGTGGAGGGAAGAAGATATGTACGTGTGATGCAAAAATACATTCGTCATAAAAATGACCTGTAGTAGAACTTCTCTTTCCTACTTTATCATTTTACGCACATTCCTTAACGATGGTTTACGCAAGATCCTTTTTTTTGCTTTACTTGAATTTGTGGTGGGGAGAAGAGGAAAGAAATATCATTATTATTTAGTCTCTCTCATGCAAATTCAAAAGGTTGGCAATGGCATATGCAAATTTATTAACACCTATATATTTTTTTCTTCGCGCCTGTTCATTCATTATTGTAAGATAATTGAGTGTATGTAATAATAATTTATAGAAATGTGACACATGCATATGAAAAACATACTTGTATATGTATGTAATACACTCATACATTTTTGTTGTTTTAACCTTTCACAATGTAAAATTACAAAAACAACTTTTTATGTTTTTAATTTTTTGCCATCCTGTTACAAATTTCTAAAATACCTATAATTTCCTTCATTATTGATCATTTCATAGACACTACTAATGCATTACTACCTGTTTACAAACTTATTGTCATCCTGTTACAAACAATATGTTTAAATATAGCCTGTAAAAAAATTTTTTACATATATACATATTTGAATATATTTTTACATTCATATGATCCTCTAAGTATTTATATAATTTTTTTCTAATTATTTCTATTATTTCTAATTCTAATTATTTCTAATACTCCACATAAAAATTAAACATAAATTTAATAAATACATACATTCAATAATTCAATTCAAAAATTTTCTAATTAAAATTTGGTTATTTCATGCATACATTTTTCCCATAATATACATAAAACATACATAGATATAAACGTTTTCAATTATTTTCTAAATAAAATTTGGTTATATCTTGCATACATTTTTCACATTTTATAATTTCTCAAGTTCAACATGAAATGTTAAATTTTAGACCATAAGTCATTTCCTATAGTAAATAATATTTAAGTTTGATAGTAAAAATATTGTAACCTGATAGTCGCGACTATCGTTTTGTTTCGTGTTTTCGTCGGCACATATATGCTCTGCTTGCGTACATTTCATGTTCGTATATTACTGCTCGCATGGCTTCAATATTGTTGACTGCGAATAATTTGTGTAGGAAAATATTTTAATATTATAGGCAAGCCATATGAAATATATATTATAAATATGTTAGCGAGTTGCTGCGTAATATATTGTAAGTGAAAACATTTTATATTTGTCTGTAAGCTGAAATATGCAATAGTTTGTATAGGTAAATATTTTTAGCAAAAATACTAGAAATATTTTGAACAGAACCATTTTTTAAATATGCATATTTTTAAATATGAGGTAAATGCATATTTATTGCAAAGTCAAAAATAAAATTATAAAAGCATCTACTAATATTTAAACTCTGCATACAGCCGCATTGCAAAATCGTTTCAATTTTACATGCTTACTTAAAAAGGTCTTCCGTTAAAGGCTTTTTAGAAGATTTTCAGTCGAAGGATTTGTAAAATAGCCTTATAGGAAATTGCATTAATAATTATACATTAGAACTTATAAGAATTATATAAAGCAAATTTTCATACAAAATTTGATTCATAATTCTTTGATAAATGTGCAAGAATCCTTTTAGTAGAGGAAACAAAATCCTCCTTGAATATCTTTTGCGAAAAGGCAATGAGAAACTTTCATAATATATAAATATGTCTTCAGAAGGCCCACGAATCGAAGTCCTAGCATTTTTCCCAGCTACTTGTGCCTTTTTCTGAATGTCATAATTTTTTTTCGTATTTTAATAAAATTTTTATTTTTTTATGCTACCAAAATTTATGTAGCATTGCTACCAAAATTTTGGTAGCATTGCTACTTTATTTAGGTAGCAGTTGCTACCAAATTTTTTATTGTTGAAAAATATAATATCGTTTATTGCTACTTCAGGAAAATATTTACTGCTACTATTTGAAGTATTCAACTGCTACATTGAAACATTTAAATACTAATGACTGTACTACTGCTATCAAACTTTTTATTTTTTTGCTACATCTATAAATACTGCTACCAAAATCTAAAGGTATCAGTAGTAATAGTAAATGATTTGCTGCTAGTTTTTGAACATTTTCTAACTACAAAAGTAGTTATTTTTCGTTACTACAGCTACTTGTAGTCTAGTTTTTTAAACACTGAATATAAACCGTTAATTTTGAAAATGGTATGAGCCAATATGTTTTCAAAGTAATATATATGTCATGAATTCCAGGAAGGAACACAGTAAAACTGACAATTTTTGACCTCCAATTTCCTTCATATTATCAATATATGTTCTTGAAGTAGAAAATAAAACAGGGTATAAAACTTTGAACCTTTATATCTTTGAGAGTTTATATCGGATTTTTTTGATTTAGAACCCAATCTATTACTGTGAATGAGCTCTTTCATTCTAATATAATTATACTTTTCACCTTCGTGAGAAGGGTATATATAAGTTTGTCATTCCGTTTGTAATTTCTATAATATAATTTTCCGACCCCATAAAGTATATATATTCTGGATCCTTATAGATAGCGGAGTTGATTAAGCTTTGTCCGTCTGTCTGTCTGTCCGTCTGTCTGTCTGTCCGTCTGTGTGTTTGTTGAAATCAGTTTTTAGAGGACCCCAGATATCGGCGAGATCCGAATCTTCAATAATTCTGTTAGACATGCTTTCGAGAAGATCGCTATTTAAAATCAGACAACCGAGACAACCTCTGAAAATTTCATACAAAAGACAATATTTTTCATGCTTTGATATAAGCAACAACAATGCTTATTCATTGAGTATTTCATTTCATATGTTTTCATTGCCTTGTTTATATTGTTTTTGTTTCCTGGTGCATTCCGTTTCGTATGTTTGGATGTCTGTTATTTTCATTGCGTTGTGTATTTTGTTTTTGCTTTTTTTGAGTATTTCGTTTCGTATGTTTCATTGCATTGTGTATATTGTTTTTTTTTATTGTATTCAGTTTTGTATGTTTAGATGTCTGTTGGTTTCATTGCGTTGTGTATTTTGTTTTTTTGTGTGTTTGTTTCGTTTAGCGTTGTTGTTGTTCGTTTTGCTATTGCTATAATAATGATATAAACGGGAAAATGAAATAAATTAAAATTTTATAGAATTGATATTTTTTAAATACACTATGGTGAAGGGTATATAAGATTCGGCACAGCCGAATATAGCACTCTTACTTGTTTTTATATTAAAAAGTTTAAGACAGTGCATTATTTATGGAAATGCACTTTTTGAATGCATTTTTAAATCATTCTCCCTGTTTAAAATTTTTCAAAAGTGCATAAGTCGATTATTTGAACTTTTTATGCAAAATATAAAAATATTTTGTTGTGACGTTCATTACATCTATTTTTGCCGATTTTTTTAAATGTTTTATATTGAACATTTTTTAAATTTTATTGATATTTTATGCATTTAACAGAATTTGAAACTGCTTAAAATACATTACTGATCACATTTGGATGCAAATATTTAAATTCGACTAC